TTTAATCTTGCCCCAAATAGATGGGTAAGTGAGGGGTTAGAAATTAGTTATGAGCCATATTTGGATAACAGGAGAATTTAAAATTTTTCAGGGTTAATCTGTATGCTTATAGCAAGTACCAGGCTCAGAACTAAGTCTAGAGTCACCACAGACCTGTACTCAAATTCTGCAGTACAGGGAACCCAAACCCATCACCCCAGTGGGCAGTAATACCAGATCACCAGGACAAAAGTCACATGGGAAACCGTGAAACAATTACCAAAGCAGTGGTTGGCAGAAGTAAAGACTTGACTCCCAACTAATGGTGTTTATGTGCCTACTGCCCTTAGCCAAGGAGGGGTTGACTTCAGCTAGGATTGCCATTCTTCTGTTTAGAAACAGACACCTTCCCGCCTGCACGGCCACACATCCTGCCTGCTGAATCTGTCCTTCTCTACAACTGCTGAGGGTATGTTTAGGCACGGGGCTGGTCAAGACACCAGGCTGTTCTCCAGGGAAAAGATGTCAACAGCAAGTCTGTGTCTGGGGAGAATATTGCTGCAGTTTTACTTTTCCCTTCATCCAAAGTACTTCTTGGATTCCATGATCAGGCCAGCCCTCTGGTTACCTGGCATTATGGATGAAGGGCGATCTGTGACACAGATTAAGGGATGTGGCTTCCATGGGTCCCCTGGACAATCGAAGGGGACCTGGGAGAGCATAGTCAAGAGAGATGTTCCAAGGCAGCACTGCCCACTGGCCCTGAGTGCCTTCATTTCTCCCTTTGGATCAACATTAAGGGCCCCATTTGCTCCAGGGAGAAAAAGCTTTCACAAGGTTACATCATCAGTGTCCAAGCCTAAAGGAAAATAAAAACTGGACTGTGACTCTTAGCCCTGGTTTTCACGATTAGATAACACCCCGTTCACTTGATATCCAATGAGTTATCAAAACATTCGCAGGAGTCCTCAGTCCAGGCCCTGCTGTTTCATTTTTCCAAGAGTTGCTTTTTGCATAGAATTGAGTCACTGGTTTCCCAAATATATAGACCCCTGCTCTCTCCCAACCCTGTGTCACAGGCAGAGATCAAGGCAGCTAAGGTGTTGAATAGTTTGTCCAAGGTCATCCTGTTTCCTAAATAGCATTAAACTTTCTTTCAGCATTATACTAGTATAATACTAAATAGTATTGTGCAAAGCTTAGAAAGAAGGGTGCCATACTTTTCTAGAGGGCACAGCAAATTAAGACCAATGGACAGAAGTTAAATGGTGGGTATCAGAGAATGCTTGAAGAGCTGGTCTCAGCATCCGTCATCTATAAAATGTCTATGGGAGTTCTCCCAGGGGATTCTAATAGAAATTAAGTAGAATAATTAATATGAACTACCTAATATGATGCCTAGCATGTAATAGGTGATCAAAAAGTTCATTCCTTTCTTCTGACAGAAAAACACATTGCCACCGAGTATAGGAATTCATCAGACACAGATGTCTGTCTACAGATACTTGAACTTAATGGTTGCCAGGATTCTTTCTAAAACTGTAACATTTCAAGTTTGCAGGACAGGACTGTGGACTTTAAATCCACTAATTCTAAGACTTTCTAAGTTGTCACTGCTCTACAAAGATGACTCATGGTTTCCAAAGTCATTTTCATTTATATGGGATATTAATAGACACAGTGGGGGAAGAAAGCAGGGCTGGGGTTTGGCAAGTAAATCTGGAAAACTAGGTTAAGTGATGTTAAATATCCTGTCAGCTCTCAGTCAGGGGTTTCTTCTGTTAACTCTTGTACTGCGTATTTCACTTCTCAACTAAGTTGAGCATTTTAAATGATCTTCTCTGAATGAAATGTTGCCCTGGCTGGGTAGAGGTGGCACGGTCAGGGCAGGTCAATATGATAGCCTGGAGCCTGGGGGTGGCAGCACTCAGAAAAGGGTACATCAAGTGCGTCGGAGATGTTAGTGTGAGCATTAGTGGGGGCACAGCATTATACCTGTGGTTTAAAATGGGGTAACACCCTCTCCTCCCAGAGAGGTACTAAAACATGAGACACACCCTAGCCCTGGCACACAGTAAGTGCTGTACGTGGGAGACTCCCTACTGTCAGCTTAAACCACGATGCCCCACATGGAACCACTGCCCATGCGCCCCCTCCCCCTGAGGAGCATTGTCCTCAACCGTCTGTGGTGAAGGATCAGAGGTCTTTTGTTTGCTTGTTTTAATTTTAAATTCATTATGCAATGATACTTTTGAAAAGCTCAGTAGAAAAATGACTAACAGAGCACTAAAACTAACAAAGACATACAAAATATAGTCAGGACAAAATATAAGCCCCCATGAAAACTGCTTTGGAAATCTAACATCCCATTCCTCTTACAGATGTGACTTGGCTTATAGTCACAGCAGATTGGTGACAGTGCTAGGACCAAACTCAAGTCATACATACTGAATGTATGCACATTTCACTGGCCAGAATTAATGACATGTTCCTACCCTAACTGCCCGGGTGCTGGGAAATGTAGAGACTCACATGGATACTGATGACCACTACGAGCCTCTGCATTACTCCTGAGGGGTAAATACTGACATAAATACATTTTATTTTATACCAAAGTCAGAATTTTTCATAAACACAGAATCGTCAACAGTGCTGAGCTGAGCAATATTGAAGCCTGAAGCAAAAGGCAAAATCAGTAATGCTGTCTTTATTTAAAATTTTGATATTTTGTTCAACATAGTTTTTATTGCATTATTTTTGAGAAGGAAGTCATAGGTCAGGCATTCAGAACTAATAGTGGCAGAGGGCACTATGTTGACACTGCTGCTTGGGCATTCTGCAGTTAACTACTGGCTAAAGTAACTGTGTGCAGCAAGGTGGGGGGGAAGATGGGGTTTCAGAGGGCGCCCCAAAGCAAAACGATCAGTGTTCCCTCCATTGAGACTCCACGGATCTGAAGATACACGATTAAATTTATCAGTATCTTTTCAGAAGGAAAAAAATAGCTGGTAAGCTTCTAGCACAATCTATAACACCCAGATTTCAGAAGATTAACATATGATACCAAAAAAATGTGAAAGAGCTCTTAAAATGACACTAATATGGTAAAATGTTTTAATTTAGGAATCCTAGGCACTTGTCTGCACTCCAACAAAATTAACTCAGAAAATATTAATTTTATCAATGAATGATGGGGCACATTCACAAAAACAGCTGGCAAGAAGTACACATTAAAAAAATTGCTAAGCCAGACTGGTTGGCCCAGGCCCGGCCCCGGGGAGAGTGTTTAGGCTGAGAAATAACACAGGGGCTCCTCACGGCCAGCCTCTTCCCAGCGGCTCTCCCTGACTTCCCTTCTGTCAGCTTGCTCGCTTCTGATCTTCATCTTCCCTTTCAAGACCAGTCCTCATCAAAACGTAGTGCTTTGCGTACCATGGCAGACATCACAGTGACAGGGGTTACAGTTTTAAGCTTAAGAGATGAATTAAATGACAGTCGGGGAGTAGTTTTGAGTAGGTGCAGTAACCACATGGGTTTCCACCACCCTTTTCTGCTTCTCACCAGTGTTTCTCCAGCAGTCAGTGGAATAATGGAGTCCCCTGTCTCCCACAAGCAGCCAGTCAGAGAAAGGTCAAAGCAAGAAATTCCACACCTGTGGGGCCGGGACGATCACTTGGTTTTTGAACCCAGATGTGGGCCCCTCCAGAACATCTCAATTGTGTCAGGAGAGCACCGCGGCTGGACCGGAGAACTGGCCAGTCTGGCTTCCTTCTGGACTGGAGGGCCGGGGCGGAGAAGACAAACCATCCCTACGGGCCAGGGCACCGCCCAGGCCGCAGGGGGTTACCCTGGACGCTGCAACTCAGGTTTGGAAGGGAGGCGGCTCTGGCGGCCCGGGAGGCGCCCCCTACGGGACCCCGGAGGAGGGACAGCCATAGCCGGAGGGCAGAACTGCCGATCTCCGCACCAGGAGTCGGGCTATCTCCTCGGCGGTCCCCTTGGCGCCCCCCAAGCGGCCTGGGTCACGTTCTTTCTCTGGGTGGGCTCCCCGCACTACCGCTTATGGGGAGATGCGGAGCTGACGTCAGCATTCAGGGCGCTTGGGTGACTTTTGGGACCACCACGAGCCTCTGCATTACTGCACCACGTCCTCAGAACCTAGAGCAGGAGGTGGGGCGACTCTCGACGGAGTACTCACCCCACTTCCAGCCGGGGGGCCAAGGTCGCACCGACCTGGGGCGCACCTATGGGCAACGCGACCACCCGAGACACCCCCCCCCACCGGCCTTGGGCCGCGCGCCCAGGCTGACTGAGCGGCTCTCCGGGAGCACGGCCGCAGTGCAGGCCTGCCCCGTGTCAAGCCCTGACCCCCACCCACTGCTCTCCGCAGTGTGAGGAAGCCGCGTTTTCCGCGGCGCGGGGCTGCTGAGCCTGCGCCCGCACACTCCCCGCGGAGCCACTGCGCAACGCTCGGAGAGCCCGAGACAGCCGGCGGTGGGTGGGCGGAGGCGGAAACCCGCACCCCACGGCGCCTCCCGCCCGCCAGGCGGCACCGGCCGCGGCTTCCCGGAAGCACGTGCGGTCAGCGCGCATCCCACCCGGGCCGGTGCTTCCGCCGCTGCGGGCCTGGGGGGCACGGGGCGCGGGTGCGCGTGCCGGGCTGGGGGGCAGCGCAAACAGAGACGCCGGGTCACTGGATGGACCAGAAGTCTGCGCTGAGCGAGGCCCGCGCCGCCGCCGCGGCTGCGGGGCCGGGCACACCCCGTCCGCCCGGCCGGCCACAGCGCGCGGCCACCCGGGGGCGGCGTAGGGTGGCGGCGGGCGCGGGAGCGCGGCGCTGCTCGCCGTGCACTTCCTGTTCTCGCACGCGGCCTTCCCGCCCCGCGCTCCCGGACTGGTCGATGCCAGGCCCTGCCCCTGCTGTCCCCTCGCTGTCCCCGGCCCGCGGTGCGGCGCAGGGACGGAGCGGACGCCCTGCCCTCCCCTCCCCGCGGGCTGCGGCGTGCCCTCTGGCCGGCGCCCGGGCGCTCAGTCGAGCGCAAGCCCCACTGCGCGATTGCTGCCGTTTGCGCCTCCTCTTCCCCTCCTCCCGCCTCGCCCTAAAGGAGGACGAGCAGAGATCCAGGCTCGGGCTGGTTTATTCTGCGGCCGGGGATTATATTTATTTGCAATCGTCTCACTCGCCAGATTTTCCACTCGGGCGCAGGCATAGGAGGGCTGTTTTCCAAATTACTGTCTTTAATTGCACCTGCCTTTCAGATTACCTCTGGGAATCGGTGGGAGGAGCCGAGAGGGTGTAAAATGTTGCTTCGCTTTGCAAAAGGAAGAAAACTTTGTCACCCAGCGGGAGACCTCTGCCACGAGTAACCCGGAGAGAGACCAGAACCAGGAGAGACTTTGGCTTTGATTTTGCATCGATGAGCCCGTAGGAGGAAGAGGACACGTGAGCTCAGCGCTCGCGCCGACCGCCATCCCGCCCGGGTGGCGGCGGCCCGAGGTACCCACCTTCCCTCCCCGAGGAAGTCCCCACGCGGCGTCTCAAGGGGGAAGGTAGTACTAAAGAGCACGCGGCTCGAGGCCGACGGCAGGACCTCATTCCGGGAACGGGTCACCCGGAATTAACTTCTGGTTAAAGTTATGGGAAGCGCGGCCATGGACACCAAGAAGAAGAAAGATGTTTCCAGCCCCGGCGGGAGCAGCGGCAAGAAAAACCCCAGTCAGAAAAGGCGTTCGCTGCGAGTGCACATTCCGGTGAGTCGCCTCGTCGCGGTCCCCTGCTCCCACCCTCAGGCAGCGTCCGACCCTGGCGCGCAAGCGGTTAACGCGGGTGCCCCGCGCGCCGTGCGTGCCCCTCCTGGCACTCTGGGTTGCTCGGCGGAGAGTGGAGGCGTGGGGCAGAGCCGGGCCGCTGAGCCCGGGCTCGCTCTCCCTCCCCGCCCGCATGCAGCCGGGGCTCGGCAGCCGTCTGCGGCGCGGGCGCGGGGCGCGCTCTGGCCGGGGCGCGGCTGGTCGGAGCAAGGGCGTAGCCCGGGATCCCGCCCGGTGCGGGTGCGAGGGGCGGTGCGTATTGTTGTTTTGTTGAAAAAAGGTCGGCGTGGACCGCGCTCCGAGGAGGTGGAGCCGCGCGCGGCTGCTGGGGACGGAGGGGAGGGGCCGTGGGTGGGGACAGCGGTCGGGTCAGGATGAGTGTGTGGCTGGACAACTGCGCCTTCAAATGGGCCTCCCTCCTCCCCAGTTCCCCTCGGGGTGTCTCTGGGCCAGGAGGCGGGGGTGACTCCTCTGCAGCCGCTCCTTCGCCTGCCGCCCAGGAGCACATTTCGGGCTTTGCGGGCTCGGGAATCTCTAACCGGTAGGGCTGCCGCGAACTTCAGCCCAGTCCACGCCGGCAGCCCGGCCCGGACTTTGGTGACATCGATCGGTCTGTGGCTTGATTTTGTCCAGCTGGAGGAAGTGGCCAGCGGGGTCGTGCGCCCACCCTTCCGTTTGCCTGTCCGGATAGCCCTCAGCCTCTTGATGTCGCCTCCTCCACCAGCAGCCTTCCGAAATACCCTCCCCGATGGGGGTTCAGGGGGGTGGGACAGGCCCCCCTCCCTTACCTGCACCCGAAAAAAACTCCCAACTGGGTCACACCCCTAACCTCCACCAACCAAGTAAATGTTTGTCCAAACACACAGACACACGCACACACACACCCAGAATGTGATTTCGTTCTTCCTGATGGCAGTCTTGGGCACAGGGTGGGAGTGCAGAGAGTCCCACCCTCCCGGGGCTTCCTGAACACTCCTGAAAGCTAATCCTTACTGACAGCGACAGGGCGGGACTGGGGTGCGGCGGCTGGCCACTCTCCCCTGAGAACCCGTTTGGCACTTTTCTCCTGTGTTTGTGGAACGCATCTCCTTTTTTCCCCAACGTGTGTGTAACACACTTGGATGAGGAAAGGTAGGGTCCCGGGCCAGAGCCCCAGACAGCTGACGGGTACTTTGGGGAGAAGCCTGAAGTTGGGAGGCTTGTGGCCAGCCCTCCCTGGCACAGGGAGGCTCTGGGAGCAGGTGACTGGAGGGACCCCTGGCTGCTGGGTGGCCACGAGAGTAGTGATCCAAATATTCAGGAATAAGCATTCTTTAAGTGTTATGTGTGAAAATGAGGCACACCTGTTTACATTGCCAATATGAGGTACTTTAAACCCTGTTTAAATGAAAAGTTAGTCATCTGTGCTACAAACCTCCCTATAACAATGATGACCTGAGTGAGCCATTTAACCACTCAGTTTCTCCCATTTGTCAGAAATAATAATTCCACTCTGCTTGTCTTACAGGAATGTTGATATAAAATAACTCATGGGAAAGCTCTTACAAATTTAAAGTGTTATATAAATGTGTGGCTACATCAGAATATTCAATTTAAAAAAGAGAGAGAGGAGAAAATGACACTGTCCTGTGTACAGGCCATACTCTCATTGGCGAGGCCTGGTCCAAACTCGGCATGGGAATATTTGCAGGGGACCCGCTCGAGGAGTGGTGCTAGTGGTAGTCTCGGACAAAATCCAGAACCTGGAAAAGGACTGAGAGGCCAGGCTGGGAAAGTGGAAAACTACACTATAGCTGGAACACTCTGACCACCTTCCTGCTGCCCTCGATGACTGCAGCTGCCTCTGACAATGTTCCTGGCATTATCCAGCCCTGACAGAAAGTACTGTTTGCTCAAATGTTCCACTGCACGTGTGCGGCACTCTGGTTGATAGTGAACAAGGGGGACTCTGTTTCTGTCCTCACAGGATTTGCATTTGCCTCACACAGCTTCTCACTGACCAACTAGAAATTACCTGTTGATCGTTGTGCCGGGCTAGGTGGGAGGTACACCCTCGCTGGGAAAACAGGCATCAGACAAATGATAGCAGATGGCTCAAGGGCACAAGATAACCTGTGCATGTGGGGCCTGCTTTCAGAGGGGCCAAGGGAGAGAGACACAGCACTGGGGGTCATTGAGACATTAGGTCCAGAGACATTAGATCCAGAGATGCTGCATAGGACAGAGACACGAGGGAGACGCTGGGGCACTCCTGCCAGGGAACCAGCTTGACCGTCCCCCCCATGGAATGGCATTTGGATAACTGTTCCCAGGTGCAGTGAAGAGTTCCCCCCAGGGAAGAAAGGGTTTGAGAATTAGGGTAAATAAGAAACTGATTGAGGCCCAATCAAGGAGGGCCTTGAAGTAGGGATACCAGATTTAGGAAATAAAAATATTAATGCCCAAATAAATTAGAATTTCTGATACACAATGAAAACCTTTTAGTATATGAATGTTCATGTACCATTTGAGATAAACTTCTACTAAAGAAGTATCCATGGTTTTCTGAAACCCCAATTTAACGGGGATCCTGTATCTTATCTGGTAGCCCTACCTGGAGGGAGACCTAGGGATGGAGGACTCCTTCCTGAAGGCGCTGAGAAGCTGCAGTGGATGGCTGTCCGTGCCCTGCCTGGTAGGCCTGTGGCACGCCCAGAGGTCCCTGCAGCCTGGCTGGACAGCTCCGCTCCACGCCCCAGCTTCTCACTGTGTCCTCGCTCCTGGAGGAGGCCTCCTGGATGGGGGCAGTTTGCTCAGCAGGAGAGCAGGCTGGGCCAGACGCTGGTGTAGGGATTATGCCCTATGGAGCAACTCTCCACCCAGGACCGCAGCCCAGTCTACTCATAAACTCATTGGGGTGGCTCGGACGTGAGGTCTGCAGGATGCTCCAGAGGGTCTGAGTGGGCCGGCCTCAGCTGCCCAGGGGGTGGCCCATTCATTGATGTCCCCCCACTGGCTCACCCAGCTTCTCTGCCTCACTCCCCCACTCTCTGGGGTGAACAGCAGGACCTACGTCATAGTCCTACTGTCTAGTGGGATCTAAACTAATAAGGAGCTAGAGGTGATGAAATGGTGCTTCATGGGCATTAGCCTGGTAGCAGCGTGCAAAGTGGGGTTGTGGAAAGAGGGGTAAGTGTCAAGGAATGATTCAAATGCACTGGTAAAAATTCGGAGATAAGGGGTGAACTATGTAATGACAGGGTTAAAACAAGCCAAAGGCAGAGGGGGCCTAAGAGGGAAGGCTGGGGGAGCCCTGGGGTCTGATGAATAGCAAGGGACACAGGAGTTGGGTTGACCTGTGGTTTCAGGGCATTTGTATAAGGTGGTTGGGGCGTGAGTGCAGTCCTCCCGTGGTGGACTTGAGCTGAGCGGCCCTGGAGGGAGAATCGCAGCCGGCTCATTCCACCCCGGTGCTGGGTGGCCATTGCTGTCCAGAGACGCCATTTCCAAGGACGTTTGGGATTCTTGGCTCCTGAAAGACACTGTGGCTCTGGCAGACCTGTGGGTGGGGTCCTTTGCTGATGTCCAGTGGCCCTCGTGGTGACAAGGCCTCTTGGGGCCTCTAGTGTCTGAGCAGCTCATTTCTTCACTGAGTTGGACTGAGTCCTTTTGGAACCCGATTGGCCTCTGCCTCCATCCCCGTATCTGGGGCTCGAACAGAGCCGTGACCTGGGGTGTTGGGGAAATCATTGCAAACCTCCCTCCCAAGCTCTGATTGACTTTAGTCATCATCACCTGCCTTCCTCCAACAGCACCTGCTGTGGCCTGGGACACCAGGAAGGAGGAGCCCACGTTGGGGTCCCCGAGGGCCTGTGGGTTACAGCACATAATGGAGACCTGGAATTGCCAAGCAGAGTCACTTACAAATGGAATTTGACTGAAGGGACTTGGTCCTTGGGCCTAACAGAGAATTTAGCCTTCTTGATTTCAGCCTGTTTCCTAGACAGTTTGGATGTCTTTATGGGAAAACCGTCTCAGATCTTGTCAGGGGACAGAGAGGTGTAAGAGAGAGGCGAGGAAGAGGAAAGACACTCCTTTTGGGGCTGCACTGGGGCTGCAGTGGGCAGAGTGCTTGGGGCCTCGCAGTGCTGAGGCTCGCAGCTGACACCGGCCTCAGCTCTCTTCTTTTAGACTTAATTCAGAACATAAGTAGGAATAATAATGAAGGTGGTGGGAATGGTTCTAGAAAATAACTATTAGAAGCCTAGCTGGGCATGGCTTTCTGCCAGAAATTTGCCAGAGAATCTGTTGCTGGGAGCGTGCACATTCTTTTCTTCTTTTTTTCCAAGAAAAAGTGACTTCCCTATTAGTGCTAATATGCATGTCTTGGACATATTTTAATTGATGACTATTGGCTGACGTATCATGGGTCTTTGGAACTGTTTACAAGCCAGTGACAGAGCAGGAGGCCAAGGGGGAAGGGAGGGCTTTGGAGAGAAGGAGGCTGTAGGGACACTGAGGCAGGGGCCCAGCGTTCACTGCTGTCCCTGGCTCTTGGGAGCAGTGCTCCAGAAACACTCCACAGTCACTGGAGACAAACTAAAAATAGATTTAAGAGCAGCTGGTGGGTCACAGAGGCCTGTGGGGCCGTGACTCAGCTCGGCAGGCCTACTGCTAGTGATGCCTTCGCCTGGGTGGCTATGAAGGGAAGCCTTGAGCTGCCTGAGGCCCAGTGCCCTCCACCTTACTGATGGGCCTGTGACCAGTAGCCCCTAGCCCACCAGATCCACTCTGCTCAGGTGCTTGAGGAGTGAAGGGGGGGCATGGCCAGGACACAGGTGGGAGTGGGAGCTGCCCTGCCACCCCCAGGGCTGGAGGGAAGGGCTCACTGCCCATCACACCACCAAAACACACTGGACTAAAGAAAGCCTCAGAGGAGGGGAAAGGGGGGCCATGCCACACAT